CCCAGGGGGCCTCTAACTCAGTGATCCTCCTGCCTCAGCCTCCCGGGCACTGGGATGACAAGCGTGTGCTACCACACCCGGCTTTATCTATGAATGTAATATAATGCCCTAAATAAACAACATGAAGGTTTCATTCCTTTTTTTTGTTTGTTTTGTTTTGTTTCTGGTACTGGGAATCGAACTCACAACCTTGCACTTGCCAGGCAGGCACTGTGCCGCTGAGCTAAATCCCCAGCCCAACATGAAGGTTTCAGAGGAAGGAGGACAGGCTGAGATTAAGGCACATCAGGGAAATTAAGTAAGTTACAAAACCAGGGAAATTAAGTAAGTTACAGAACCAGGAAAAGTGTGAACAGCGAGAGCGCCGTGGGGAGGCTGGGCCAAGCACGGGACAGATCTCGACAGGGCCGCAGGGCCAGGGCTGGGCCAGAGGGCATAGAAACAGACCCAGGTGGCATCTTAACCCGGAAGGGGAGGACTGAATTATAACCACTGACGCTGGCACACCTGGGAGCTGTCGGAAATAAGACACGGCCAGACCCACACCTCACACCTGTGCGAAATAAGCTGGGAAGCAGGCAAGCATGTGCATGAAGACGGATGAAGGCGCTAAAGGATGGCGGCGGGGGGAGGGCTCTCTGTGACTGCGGGGCCAGACAGGGCCTCCCGAGAGAGACACGAAGGGTACAAGACGCGTGGGTTGATGAGCACTTCCCTGGGCAGGGGTGTAGCTCGGGAGTGGACGATTTGCCTGGCAGGCACCAGGCTCTAGGCTCTAGGCTCCAACCCCAGCACCTCAACCCTCTCACAAAAAAAACCAAAAAACAATTTCCTGTGAGACAAAATCTTCCACACGCAGTCAAAGATAATCTGGGGGAAAGTATTCCAACACCTATCGCAAAGAATTAATGTGTCCAGCGCTGACAAACAGGCAGCAGAAAAATGGACACGAGGTACAGCCAGTCTGCAGAAAATGCAAAACCCAAGCAGATCTGAAACCTGGGAAAGATGATCAACCTGCACTTACAAGGAGCAAAATGCCAGTTCCACTCGCCCCAAAAGGTCCTGTTCCCCAACAGAGCACAGTCACAGTGTGCCGGGACAGGGAGACAGCTTCGCCCACCGGGGACGGGCGTGGGGGGCAGCCTGACTATGCCCAGTGACTGCAGCTCCACCCCCAGATGGTCTCCTCCTCCCACAAGGAAGGACCGTGCAAGGGTGGCTTCCTACAGCACCGTTTTCATGCTCCCAGAAAAGGGCTGGAGGGCCCTCCGGGCACCCTACCAAGGAGGGCCACAGGGCGGGGACGTGAGGAGCCCTAAGCTCACCAGCCAGCTCCCTATTTGGGTACTGGACAGAAGGAAGTGGGTGGCAGCGCTGGCCAGCTGTCCCTCACCATCTGGAATACCTGAGGAAATCAGCTTACAGGAGGAAGCGTTTCCTTAGGCTCATGATGTCAGCAGCTGCAGTCCATGGTCACTGCAGAAAGCCCAGCAGGGGAGAGAGCGGCTTACCTCACGGCAGCTAGGAAGCAGAGACAGAGTCCAAGAGGATGGGGCTGGGGACGAGGAGTCACGCCAGGGCCACGCCCCTGCTCACGACCTTCAAGAAGCCCCTCATATTGTGAATCACAGCGTAACCCGGGGATGAAGGCAGAGCCTACTGGATCCGGGCAACTTCCCAAAGCCTCTCTGTTTGTCGAGGAGGCCTTGGGAATGTCTGAGATCCAAAGCATAACAGGAAGAGGAGAAAAAGACAGAAATTCACCCCGAACAACAGCACCAGAAAGGCCAGGATGCCACCTCCTGGAGAGGGGCCGCCTGGGGGCCCACTGTCTCCCAGAGCCCCGCACCCTTGCCCTGACCCATCTCTAAGCCACTCGCAGTGTAATCCGTCTCCGCTCACCCTCATCACCTGACCTGCCCAGCGCACCCAGCACCCAGCACCCAGCAGCTGGTCACCGGCCCCCAGGGCCTGGCTCCTCCTCCAAAGCTCACTGAGCCCTGGCGGGATCAGCACGGTGGGGCAGGGGAGCCTGAGAGTCCACGACTCCTGCTCCATGAACCTGCAGGAGTGGGGTCCCCGGGACCAGGCACCCACAAAGGTGGCCCTGTCCTGGAGACCAGCAAGGGGCCGAGGGCCATGTCAGGTGCAGGTAGTTTGAGAAATGACGGATTAGGGGAGCCCACCCTGGCTGAGGACACTGCCCTGATCTGGGGTCGCCGTGCATGGGCAGGAGATGGGCCCACGGGTTCCCCAGCGACCTGACTTCATCCTCACACCGTGACAAATGAGGAAACCAAGAAATGGAGCCTAGCGGCAAGACAGGGCAGCCCCGCTCCTGCCGGGACCCAGGGCTCCCACAAGGGGCTCTCGGCACCACAATCTCACGCCAGTGCAAGCCTGGATCGGCACAAAGAAGCACAAGACCCCAGCTCACGCTCACGCCAGGGCAGGCCCTGAAGGACACACACTGCTCTCCTTCAGGCAGTCTCTGGTCAGGGTCACCGTCTTTATGCACAGCCCTCCGTGGCTGGGCCCCGCCGCTCACCCAGCGGACCCTCAGTCTCCCCGTGCACACCCTTCTGCTCCCTGCTGTGGACCAGGGCCCTCCCTGCTTCCTCCCACCAGCCACAAGCGGCCCTCCTCCAGGAAGTCCTCCTGGCTCCAGACTCTCCGGCTGCATCAGCCCTGGGGCATCGGTGATCCAAAAGAGGCACCTGCTGCTACCGCTGCACAGCTGCCCCCTCCTCCGGGTGCACCCACGAGCCCACGCATGCGGGCCACACCTGCACCCCGCCCATCACCAGCCCCCCGCAGGGACAGCGCCCAGGTAACTGCAGGACAAATCACTGCGGCCCTGAGACTTGGAGATGGGCGGCCTGGGGCACAGACTCCAGGGACACAGAGGGAGTCAGGATGGGGACAAAGGCCACCAGCGGGGAGACAGGAGACAGAGATGGCACCCTGACACCCCACAGGGCCACGCCCTCTGGCCCGTCCCGAGCCAGAAAACGTCCCCTCACTCTAGACAATGGCCCAACATCCTGCCACCAAGAAATAAGGGCAGCAGCTCTGGGTGACAACTGCAGGACCAGCTGTAAGCTGTGATGGCTCCCACAGAGGACAGCCTGAGTCTCGCTGGCCTTAAGAAGTTAAGCACTGAGCCAGGTGTGGTGGCACAGGCCTGTCATCCCAGCACTCAGGAGGCTGAAGCAGGAGGATCCCTGCGAGTTCAGGGCCAACCTGAAATACACACAGCGGCTTGTCTCAAAAACACTAAAACAAAATTTTTTAAAAAAGAAATGAAGGCATAAAACAATTTCTAAAGCAAACACAGTGGGAAGAACTTTTTATGACTAAAGGACCCCTCTGCCCTCTGGCCGTGCGTTCGGTAAACAGCCTCAGGTGGCTTCGGAGGATGACATCTGTCACCGCCCAGGGAGAGGGCGGCAAGACACAGCTGGGACCCCGCAGGGGAGCCTGTACTGCCAGGGCTGCAGAGGCGATGGACACCCAAACCTGTGTCTCCTTCCGCTTCACAAAGGGGGCAGAACCCAGGAGCACAGGCTCTCTGGTGGCGGGGGGTGGGGGCCTGAGCGGTGGGGTGCGCTCGTCTCCCCCTTCAGAGCACTGCGGGTCTCATTCCACAGAGCTGAGTTCACACAGGAAGTGCAGGCGGCTGGTGATTCCGCACAGGGAGGTTTTAATTCTTAAAAACTAATCTGCAAGGGCCGGGGATAGAACTCAGGGGCACAGGGCCTGCCCGGCAAGTGCAAGGCTGTGAGTTCGATTCCTGGTACCAAAAAAAAAAAAAAATTAACCTGCAAAGCACACTTTGAAAGTGCCAGTGAGGACTGCATCTCGAATAATTCTGCCCGGCCCCATGCAGAATACTCCAGCACCCCTGCCCTGCCAGCCCGCAACCCAGGTGAGGAGGGCAGTCAGTTTCCAGCATGCCTCTCTGCGGGCAGCACAGGTGCGCGGCGGAGTTCACCCCACACCTCTCCCCAGCGCCGCCAGCACACATGCTCGTGCACACACAGTCGTACACACACACACACACACACACACACACACCCCTCCCCTGGCTCACGCCCCAGCCGCTGGCTCACTCTGTCAGGTCAGGCCTGAATGTAGCCTCTGCTGATGAGCACGGCGCTCACAAGGCCGCTCTGGCCGCTGCGCCCACACGGCTGCCGGAATTGGCTTTCGGCAGCAGCTCCTGTTTCCCGTCTCAGGTATCACTCTCCATCCAGAGCTCCGGGCTGCACGAACCCCATCTCCTCCAGGGGTCCTCACCCTCCCGGCCTGCAGCTGAGGGCGGCTGCGGGGACAAGCTCTGCATACCCCAAGCCAAGACCGAAACCACCGACGAGCCAGGGTCAGGCAGCCAGCAGATCAGAGCAAATCAAACCCACGGCCCTCGCTGCCTGGCTCACGACAGAGAGGAGGCAACTGGTGGGCGCCGGCAGGACCCACTGGCGCCATCCACTGCTGGGTCCTTCGGCACAAAGGCCAAGCTGCAAACCAACAGGATGAGGCAGCCGCTGCCAACCGCTGATGCAGAAAACACGCAACTAACCAGGACCTACTTCCTTCCGCCCCCTCTGAACGCAAGCTCTACACACAGCAAAAGAGGAAAACAAAAACAAAATGAAATCTAACCAGGAATACTGGTATACGCCTGTCATTCCAGTGACCCAGGTGGCTGAGGCAGGAGGATCGCCAAGTTTGAGTCCAGGCGGGGCAACATAGTGCGACACTGCCTCAGAATAAAATAAAAACCGTTGGGGATGTAGCTTAGCGTTCTGAGTTCAGGCCCCGGTATCACAGAAAAACAAAAAAGTAAGACAAAACAGAAAAGAAAGCTGCACTGTATAGAAAGTTGGCCAGAACAGTAACTTACAAATAAAACTGCACTTGTTTTTGTCCTAATTAAAACCTTCCCAGAAAATCACCTGAAACAAAAGAGAGAGAGAGAGATTGCTGGAGCTCACCACATCATCTCGTGCCCGCAAGCCTTTGGGCAGCAGACCTCGTCCTCTTCAGGAAAACTCAGCCCCTGGAACGCGGAGGTGAAACAGATTCTCTCCCCAGCAGCCTCACTCTGGGTGGCCGCCGCCGCTGGCGCATTCAGCCCTGCCCCAAGCCGGCTCGGCACTGGCACTGTCGAGGCCGGGGGCTGCTCCCCTCACCTCCCTCAGCACCTGGCCGCCCGGAGCCCAAAGGCAGGGCAGTGGCCTCCCAGACAGAGCAGGACGCAGGGACGCAGCGACGCAGGGACGCAGGCACGGAGACCTGGCTCAACCAGACCAACAGGTCGGCAGAGACAGAGCGGGTGGCGCCGTCCTGGAAGCAGAGGCCTGTTTGTTCTGAGCCATCAAGGCTCCACCAAGGGGTGCAGCTCTCAGTGACCAGAGGGGAGAGAGCTCCCAGTGACAAAGGAATGCTGCCCCAGGGCCTCGACTCCAAATTCCCCTGCCCTGGCCCTGAGAAGGGAGGACACAGGGACCAGGCCAAGTGCATACACCCAGGAGCCCTGGCCACTTGCCGACACCCACAGGTGACAGTGACTAGCTGACTCCTGGCTTCACAGTCTGGTTCTGCAGGAAGGCCAGATGGCACCTGTTGTCAGGCCACACACACCTGTGGAAGCCAACACCTGTCTGCCTCCTAAGTGCAATTTAACCAAACACAGCTCGAGCGGCCCTCACCAGGGCCCAGAGCCGGGCACGGCCAGCGTGTCCTGGAGCCCTTCTGTTCAGCAGCAGCGACCAGCCAGGCCACCAACGATCCCCCTCATGGTGCTGATCTGAACACAGACTACTAACGCCGGCGAGGGGCCCACAAAGGGGATTCCAAGGAGGGAAACTGTCCTGACTCGCTGGCCCACAGGCACCTGTGCTTCCAGGTGCCCACTCGCCCACTCAGCCCCCTGGGTGGGTGAGAGGGTGGCCGGGTAGGGACGGGCGCTAGGTTTAAGGCTGGGATTGCAAGTCCCAGCTCAGGCTAATCGTGGCACCGGGGACAGGTGATGTCCCACCCTGCACCTGCCAGACCAGGTGGGTCATCGCCTGTGGGGGACACCCAGGATAAGTTCGAGCAGGACCAGTGAGAGAAGCTAGTCCCCTGGTGGCCAGGGTCAGGGGATGACTGGTTAGGGTCAGAGGTACCACACAGAAGGAGGGCTTCCCACAGCTGTCCAGGCGCTGCCCTCTGTGAAGGATGAGCTTCCTCTGAGGGTGCCCATTTTCTCTCAGAACTCAGAACCTTCCTTCCCCTGGGCCCAGAACAAGGGGAACCTCACTTCTCCAGAGGCACAGCCAACCACAGGCTACAACATGAGGGTCACACAGATAGGGGGCCTTTCATGACCTGGGAAACCAAAACAGGAAGAGACATCTACCTGCAAAAGCAGCTGAGCTGCTAGGCATAGTGGTACAGGTCTGTAATTCCGGCACTCTGGGAGGCTGAGGCAGGAAGATCGCAAATTCAAGCTCAGCCTGGGCAACTTAGTGACTCTATGAGACCCTGCCTCAAAATGAATCATAGAAAAGGGCTAGGGAAGTAGCTGAGTGTGAAGGGGGTGGATTCAATCTCCAGGATCAAAGGGGGGAAAAGCAGCCAAGCTGAACCCTGCCCCATTGCCAATTTCCTGAATCACTCTGGGAGACAGCCTCTCCCCTCAGCTTGGCGATGCCCCATCTCTATCTCTGTCTTCCAAACCCGCCCCATGCCAAGCCCCTTGCGGAGCCTGCGCCTGGCTCCGTGTCCCTGGAGTAGGGGCTGCTGTCCCGGCCGGGTGTGGCAGATGCTGGGGTTAGGGTGCAGCTTCCCACCTCTCCCTCCCTGCCTGTGGGCAGCTGACCCTGTGGGCGCAGGAGGGGCACAAAAAACACTGTACCCACGCCACGCCACACTGGGAGGGGGCAAATGAGCCTGGGCTGCTCAGGACTTCCCAGACTCGGGGCAGAGTGCCGCCTGCTGCAGAGAGGGGTGGCCTCACTGCCGCCCCCACGCTGATCCCGACACTCCTGCACTTCCAGGGCCTCTGCTTCACAGCAGTGCAGTCTCCAGAGGGCCCCGGCCAGCTGCAGCCTCCCTCTGTGCCCCGGATCTCCTGTCCTGTGCCATCCTGAGACCAAGCTCCAAGGTTCACCCTGGACATCTGCACCCCATACTTCCCGCCCCGGTGGGGCAACGCCCCCTGAGGTCCTCCCCACCCACAGGGACGCCCCGTCATCTGCCCAGGGCCCAGCTCCAGCCCAGCTGTCTCCTGGCCATCGGCCAGTCCCCGCTACCCTGTGCAACCCAGCCCACGCAGCCCCGAACACACCTGCCTCCCGCACGCTGGAGCTTTCACACCTGCCCTGGCCTGGTCTCTGTGCCCGGCTCCTACCCACCTACATCCCAGTCTGACTAGACCCTCGGCCGGAGGAGCGGGAGGACCCGGGCCCTCGGGACAAGCTGCCTAGGTAGGACAGCATGGCACTGGCCAGAGGAAGGTGGACCCACAGAAGGCAAGGGATGGACAGCCAAGACGCGGGGAGTGGGGCCTTGGGGTACAGGAGGCTGGAGAGCCAGCGGGTAGACAGTGGGAACCATCGAGGACCCAGGTCTAGCTCCAAAGGAGAGCTTACAGGTGCGCATTACACGAACAGTAACTCAACAAGCACACAACAGAGGGCTACACTGGACCCACGAAGGCAGCAAGTCAGGCCCGAGGGCTGTGACTCAGCCGCTTCTGTGCACCTGAGCTCCAAAACGTGAAGAGGACAGAAAGATGCGTCCGCAAGTCTCTCCTACAAGCCTGCGCCGCCGCACGAGTGATGCGCCCGCCCTCCCTGAGCCCCGGGTGGGCACAAGAGGATTGCATCTGCCCACATGCAGAGCATGCTCAGCACTGACAGGCCTCCACGGACAGAGGGCTCTCTGGACAGCTGAACCCACGTCCTGAGGGTCACCCGCAGGGACGAGGTCTCACTCCCCCGAGGCCAAGGAGAAAGAACCAGGCAGGGGAGACCCCAGGCTCAGCAGCCGCGAAGTAGGAATCTACATTTCTGCACGACTCTCCCTCCTGCTACCGGGAAAGACGCTGCAGTCAAGGACCAGAGTTAGCGAGGTTCCAGCGCCACTTACGCAATCACTTAATTCCCAAGCATTTGAGAGCGGTGCAGATAAAATCAATTCCTTTTGTGTTTTTGTTCAAATGCTTTTTTGAAAACCCACACGGAGATAGTTCTAATATAGGTTACGCTGGTGAAAAAAAAAATAATCACGGAGTGGGGTTTCTAGCTTCTAATTATACAGAATTAGGACAAAATATTCACGTAAGGGATTCTGAAATACTTTATAAATAGGTCATAACCGCCTCTCCATGCCAAAATTCTTTACACCCAAAGTGAACTTCTCTGTCTGGAGGAATGGGTTGCAGGACAGAGACTCAGGCGGCTTCCCAGGCTCCGCCGTCCTGGAGGCGTAGGGTGTAGGACTGGCCAAGCTTGACGCTCAAGTTTTTGGAAGCCAGCTGCGGGCTCATTCAGTCCCTGGAAGCCACAGCACGGAGACCCCAGACTGAGCGCCGCTCTGCCACTGCGCTCTGCAGAAGCAGCTCCCCCCGGCCGGCCGGGTGCAGTCGGCAAGCGTAAACACCGCACGGAGAAGCGGAACACAGCCTGGCCCAGCCGTGAACACAGCAGCCCAGCCCAGAGCAGCCGGGGGAGTGAGTATCTCCATCGCTGTGCATCGGGGCAGGCAATTCACTGAGCTATTTTTAATGCTACAATTAAATAGTCGATTATCTAAACTGCACACGCCCAGATTACAGGAACAACATTTATTTGTCAATTAAGTCAGCCAGGGCGGCAGCAGTGGGAGCGGGGCTGGTTTCCCCCTGGGACGTCATCCTACCCAGGATGCCATCCTACCCAGGACTCGCCCACCTGCTGCATGGCCCAGGCCCCGTGTGGCCACGTCTTGGGGACAGGATGTGGACACAGGTGGGTGGCATCAAGGGGTCGCAGTGTGACATCTGACATCACAGCCGAGGACACAGGAAGAGTGGAGGCCCCTGCAGCTGGGGGTGGGGACAGGCACATCTGTCCTCAAGAGCGGGGCTGGCCCCAGTGTCCACTGGACACTTCCGGACTGTCCCCAGGTAGGGGCAGAGTGCAGAGGATGGCGCACAGACCTCTCTGAGGGACGCAGCCCAACTGTCTGCACCCCCACTGCTTTGCTCAGGTAGCTTTGTGGTCTAAACCAACAAGCCACTGGTTTCTGAGATGGGGAGGTGACAATCCCACACTGGATGCCAGCAAGATGGGGAACACACAGGGAGGACAGCTCCGGCTCGCTGACCTCTGGCACCGGCTCTCACTGCTGCCAGCCCTGTGGATCTCCTCTCTGGTCCCCAAAGAACCACCAAAGGGAAGGTGGCCCAGGTCCACCCCCGGGGGCCCAGGAGTGAGAACCCGCGAGAACTCAGCTCCGGCCTTGTGAAAAGCACGAACTGGAGAGCGGGCCCGGGGAGAGGACCAGGGTGTGGGCCCTGCAGAAAGCCGGGCAGGGACCTCTCCATGCCCACTTTCTCCGCCGCGAAGTAGGGGGCACACGGTCTGCTACAGGGAGACGACAGCCGCCCCCACACCTTCCCTGGCCCCTAGCAGGTGGTACAGTAGGGGACTCAGCCCTCACCCCTGCAGCCTTCCCCAGGCCTGCACCACCCCATCTGCCTTCGGGCCGCCCGAGTCAGAGACCCTGGCACCCAGGGCCCCCCGCACCCCGGGCTCCTCCACTCCTCCACCCCTCCCCGACCCAGGGCTCACTTCCTGGAAGGAGGCTCCATGGCTCTCAAGAGATGAAGTGAGAAGGGACAGGCTCCCTCCTGGAGCCCCGCCAGCTGGGTCCCACTCCAGCCTGCAAGCCGCAGGTGCTGCTCCCCTGGGTCCTGCCCGGGGAAGCGCTGCGACTTTGGCCCCTGCCGGCACACCAGCCACCAGGTGTGAGGTCAGTTCCTCCTCACCCAGGACATCTCGAGCATTTATGGACGCTCGGCAGTCACTCACCTCACTTTCGAGGGGTGGGAGGAGGCACTGGGTGAACCTTGGGTCACCAACCCCAGGTCACATGGCACGGCACTGCCTGAGAACAGTACAGCCTAGGCTCCAGCCGGCCTGGGCCACAATGGGCACTGCCCAGCCCTGTTCAACTCCAGTGCCCTCAGATTTCTCCAGCCCTGCTGGGACTGCCCAGGTTGGGCCGA